CCAGCGTCTCTCACAGTCCTGTCATCCACCACCGTCTCTCACAGTCCTGTCATCCACCACCGTCTCTTCACAGTCCTGTCATCCACCAGCGTCTCTTCACAGTCCTGTCATCCACCAGCGTCTCTCACAGTCCTGTCATCCACCAGCGTCTCTCTCAGTCCTGTCATCCACCACCGTCTCCCTCACAGTCCTGTCATCCACCAGCGTCTCTCACAGTCGTGTCATCCACCACCGTCTCTCACAGTCGTGTCATCCACCACCGTCTCTCACAGTCGTGTCATCCACCACCGTCTCCTCACAGTCGTGTCATCCACCACCGACCCTCACAGTCGTGTCATCCACCACCGTCTCTCACAGTCGTGTCATCCACCACCTTCTCTTCACAGTCCTGTCATCCACCACCGTCTCTTCACAGTCCTGTCATCCACCACCGTCTCTTCACAGTCCTGTCATCCACCACCGTCTCTTCACAGTCCTGTCATCCACCAGCGTCTCTCACAGTCGTGTCATCCACCAGCGTCTCTCACAGTCGTGTCATCCACCAGCGTCTCTCACAGTCGTGTCATCCACCAGCGTCTCGCACAGTCGTGTCATCCACCACCGTCTCTCACAGTCGTGTCATCCACCACCGTCTCTTCACAGTCGTGTCATTCACCAGCGTCTCTCACAGTCGTGTCATCCACCACCGTCTCTCACAGTCGTGTCATCCACCAGCGTCTCTCACAGTCGTGTCATCCACCAGCGTCTCTCATAGTCGTGTCATCCACCAGCGTCTCTCATAGTCGTGTCATCCACCAGCGTCTCACAGTCGTGTCATCCACCAGCGTCTCTCACAGTCGTGTCATCCACCACCGTCTCTCACACTCGTGTCATCCACCAGCGTCTCTCACAGTCGTGTCATCCACCACCGTCTCTCACAGTCGTGTCATCCACCACCGTCTCTCACAGTCGTGTCATCCTCCACCGTCTCTCACAGTCGTGTCATCCACCACCGTCTCTGACAGTCGTGTCATCCACCACCGTCTCTCACAGTCGTGTCATCCACCAGCGTCTCTCACAGTCGTGTCATCCACCAGCGTCTCTCACAGTCGTGTCATCCACCAGCGTCTCTCACAGTCGTGTCATCCACCACCGTCTCTCACCGTCGTGTCATCCACCACCGTCTCTCACAGTCGTGTCATCCACCACCGTCTCCCTCACAGTCGTGTCATCCACTACCGTCTCCCTCACAGTCGTGTCATCCACCACCGTCTCTTCACAGTCCTGTCATCCACCACCGTCTCTTCACAGTCGTGTCATCCACCACCGTCTCTCACAGTCGTGTCATCCACCACCATCTCTCACAGTCGTGTCATCCACCACCGTCTCTCACAGTCCTGTCATCCACCACCGTCTCTTCACAGTCGTGTCATCCACCACCGTCTCTCACAGTCGTGTCATCCACCACCGTCTCTCACAGTCGTGTCATCCACCACCGTCTCTCACAGTCGTGTCATCCACCACCGTCTCTCACAGTCGTGTCATCCACCACCGTCTCTCACAGTCGTGTCATCCACCACCGTCTCTCACAGTCGTGTCATCCACCACCGTCTCTCACAGTCGTGTCATCCACCACCGTCTCTCACAGTCGTGTCATCCACCACCGTCTCTCACAGTCGTATCATCCACCACCGTCTCTCACAGTCCTGTCATCCACCACCGTCTCTCACAGTCGTGTCATCCACCACCGTCTCTCACAGTCCTGTCATCCACCACCGTCTCTCACAGTCGTGTCATCCACCACCGTCTCTCACCGTCGTGTCATCCACCACCGTCTCTCACAGTCGTGTCATCCACCACCGTCTCTCACTGTCGTGTCATCCACTACCGTCTCCCTCACAGTCGTGTCATCCACCACCGTCTCTTCACAGTCCTGTCATCCACCACCGTCTCTTCACAGTCCTGTCATCCACCACCGTCTCTCACAGTCGTGTCATCCACCACCATCTCTCACAGTCGTGTCATCCACCACCGTCTCTCACAGTCCTGTCATCCACCACCGTCTCTTCACAGTCGTGTCATCCACCACCGTCTCTCACAGTCGTGTCATCCACCACCGTCTCTCACAGTCGTGTCATCCACTACCGTCTCTCACAGTCGTGTCATCCACCACCGTCTCTCACAGTCGTGTCATCCACCACCGTCTCTCACAGTCGTGTCATCCACCACCGTCTCTCACAGTCGTGTCATCCACCACCGTCTCTCACAGTCGTGTCATCCACCACCGTCTCTCACAGTCGTGTCATCCACCACCGTCTCTCACAGTCGTGTCATCCACCACCGTCTCCCACAGTCCTGTCATCCACCACCGTCTCTCACAGTCGTGTCATCCACCACCGTCTCTCACAGTCGTGTCATCCACCACCGTCTCTCACAGTCGTGTCATCCACCACCGTCTCTCACAGTCGTGTCATCCACCACCGTCTCTCACAGTCGTGTCATCCACCACCGTCTCTCACAG